TCATCCTTTTTTATATTACTTGTACTACATAAGCGTTCTTCATAAAGTTCAGCTGTGGAAATATTTGGCGACTTATGTAGGGATTTTTGTATGGTTTTAAGTATTCCCCTCTACCTTGTTTCTGTACCTTTTGCCATTGCTATCCCTACATCATCCTTTTTTATATTACTTGTACTACATAAGCGTTCTTCATAAAGTTCAGCTGTGGAAATATTTGGCGACTTATGTAGGGATTTTTGTATGGTTTTAAGTATTCCCCTCTACCTTGTTTCTGTACCTTTTGCCATTGCTATCCCTACATCATCCTTTTTTATATTACTTGTACTACATAAGCGTTCTTCATAAAGTTCAGCTGTGGAAATATTTGGCGACTTATATAGGGATTTTTGTATGGTTTTAAGTATTCCCCACTACCTTGTTTCTGTACCTTTTGCCATTGCTATCCCTACATCATCCTTTTTTATATTACATGTACTATATAAGCGTTCTTCATAAAGTTCAGCTGTGGAAGGTATAAAAGTAAAAAAAAACAAAAACAACAATAACAACACACACACACACAAACATTACCAGCGAGAATGATTCACGGTGGTCTCATACATTCCCTACTTTGAGTATTTCAAGTACAAGCGCCACCTCGAAGGATGATCCATAACGAAGGACTAATGTAGAAAAAAATTATTTAACCACAAACTTATAAAATCACTGGATTTTTGCTATTAATTATTTTTGCCATATTGAATTGCTTAGTTAAAATTTATTAATTACAAGGAAGATTTTTTTTTTACATGAAATATTTTCTTGCAGCCGTTACGATCTTAAAAGAAAATCTGTTCTGATAGTGCGTTTGTTAAGCATGTTATAAGCAATTTGATATCTAACAGTTTTGTCAAACATTAATGTATTATACATACGTTTTTCAACCCAAACGACTTTGGATTAGGCTTGCATTACTAATTCTATCTAAACATTTAAAGGCAAATCAAAGAACAAATATTTTTTCAATAAGAAGCTGATAATTAAAACCTGAGGAAACATTGATGGTAGAAATTTCGCGGTGGGTCAGCAGAATGTTCACGGACTTACAAGGCCAAATCCGGGGTTCGGTTCCCCACCGTGGACAGAGCGCAAATAGCTAATGTGGTTTTGCGATAAAATAAACAAAGAAAACTGAAAAAAAACAACAACAAGAACATAAAATAACATTGCAGAGAACAATACAATCACAACAAAAAGTGGAAATAAAAAATAATATAATTTCTGAGGACGTCCAATTAACAGTAGGTGTACGGTTAGCTATATAATTATTTGTATACATTGGTAGCTTGGCATGCCTGGTGGTTAAGACGTTCGACTCGTAATTTACTGGATCGAAGTCCATCGCCGAACATGCCTTTCAGCTGTAGGAGCGTTATAAGTAGACGGTCATTCCAGCTAGCCTACCACTTCAAAACCAGGAACGGTTAGAGCAGATAACCCTCGAGTAGCTTTTTGGCAAAATTGGAATTTTGTTCGTATTCCTAATTACTATTTTGAGTTTTCAACAGCAAACTAATGTAATAAGTTTGTTATTTCATGTTTTGCCTGTAGTAGACCAAGATTGTTACTTCAAATAAACTCAGCTTGACCTTTGGTACATTACTGCTGTGTCAAAGATTATTCTCGTTAGGTGTGTTAAAAATTAAAACCTAGGGGCTTCCATACGTCTAAAGAAGTGGTATTAACTTGGGGGAAGCCAACGATATTTCAGGGGCCCGGCTCCCCTGGCCTTCTCGCTGGTGCCGGCCCTGACTAGTGTATTGCGTTAAAGTAATTATCATAATATTGTGCCTTTAAATAAAGTAATTATCATAATATTGTGCCTTTAAATAAAGTAATTATCATAATATTGTGCCTTTAAATAAAGTAATTATCATAATATTGTACCTTCAAATAAAGTAATTACCATTAACAATATTATGATAATTACTTTATTTCAAGGTACAATAACCTTCAAATAAGGTTGTTGTTTTTATTTTGATAGTCTACATCGCCTGTTTTAAAACAACGTACATCCCACATTATAAGATATTTTTCCTCGTAGAACGAATTAGATCTAAGTTATTCAGATCTTTATTCCAATACTCGTAACTATAAGTTTGAAGTTTACACAGTGAAAGGCAATGGTCATTTTGTAGCTTGCTATAGAATAAACCAAGCGTATTTTTTTGCAAAACAGCAAGTTGCTGTACTCATAAATAATGTTTCACTAGTAGAGACCCGCAAAACCTTTACGGTATCTTTAATACAGTACTTCTTTAAATACAGGATTTCTAGAATAATACAAAATAATTTTAATCGCAGACACCGAAATATTTAAGTCCACTTGTTTTAGGCCTAACATTAGTTAAGCCTTTATTAAGCACGGCCTATATTCGATAAAGAAATAAATTAACACTGTAACTTGTGTAAATTTTTTTGTTTTAGTTTAATTGCGACTAAACTTTATTGTACTTAATACTATCAATAAATAAACTTATGATGTTATTCTACAACCTAATGATAGACCTTTTTTTATAAACTTTGATAAGCTTTTAATATGTTGTTGTACAAAATGTCTACTAAAGTATAAAATAATATTTACATCTTCCTTTTGTTTGCCCCCCAGTGGCACAGAGGTATGTATGCGGACTTACAACGCTAGAATCCGGGTTTCGATACCCGTGGTGGGCAGAGCACAGATAGCCCATTGTGTAGCTTTGTGCTTAATTACAAACAAACAATCCTTTTGTTTACATCCGTTGAAATGAAGTGCGCGCGCATGCGCATTTAGCTAGTAAGGACAGACAAAAACTGAGTATTGTTATAACAAATAAAGTAAGTCCTTGGCTTAAAACTTATTTATTCGTACATGTTAAGGACAGGTGTGTTTTTAAAAAGGAATTCAACTGCTCATCATTAAACAAATCTATCTATCAGAAAAGTCACGACAAGTTAAAAAGATGAATCTTCCGAAATATATATTTTCTCACGTTATTTGTGTTACAGTTTTACTTAACTCTTCCCTTCCTTGGGCATATTTGTATGTCCACCCTATAAAATATTGCATGAGCAAACACACAAGGGATAATGTTTGTTTTATTTAAACTTGAAAAGCGTGATATTAACCACATATGAGTTTGGAATTCTGTGAAGAAAGGGTATTCCCCTTCAAACTTTGCTAGTTTCAAGTTTCAGACAAGTATTGAAATATGTGTCTTTTTGTTTTATATGGGACTGGCACTGAACGTGACAGAGAAAGAGTTAATATATGTTGTTGTAAGGTAAATAAAACAAACTTTAATTTAAGTAGACATTTTTACCACAAACTGTGGCAGTCAGCATGAATAATCTGTCGTTAAGTGAGATTGCATGTTTTAAACCACACCAAAAAGTACTTCAAAACGAGCATCATTAAGGAAGGATGCATGTTTTCAAACCACAACGAAAAGTACTTCAAGATGAGCGTTTGTAAAATCGATGTGAAAACTTTTGGTGATTTAAAAATATCTAGTAACAACTCTTATTCGTTGTAAATAAAAACATACACCAAAAATAACGACTGTTACTTTCTATAAACAAAGGACGCTAGAAAATTAAATAAAACAATCATTATAATTTAGTTAAAATAGAAAAAAAAATTAGCCATGGCATAGCGGCTCATATAATGGCTGTGAGTTTTTCAAATACAAACTTGTAGCTCATAACTCCGTCATCTCTTCACCGATTTGAGGTCGAATTATAATTTTGGACTCAGGAGGTCGGACCCTTTCGATTGATGAATTTGGCCACGCCCAAGGTCTCATAGATTAATCTACTCTAATCCTGCCTGAAAGAATTTCAATTTGAGGGTAGACTCGTAGAGATCCTGATGAGTAATAAAATCGAACACGCGCGCCCCACGCTTTATATTGCTGGCGCAAAAAATACAGCTGATGAAAAGGAAAAAAAAAAAAGGTCTCATAGATTAATTTACTCTAATCCCATCTAAAAGAATTTCAAGTGTCACTTTTATTGAGGATTCCCTCTTGTTTTTTCATTAGAAAGTTTTGAATCTTGGTAGCTACAAACTCCACCGTTTGGTCATTGTTAAAATTCGTTTATCTTAATATGTAAAACACAATTAAGCGTCAAATAATCTATTTATGTATTAAATCCAAGTACATAAACAGATTAATGTAATATTATCTATTTACGTATTTGATCCAAGTGCATAAGCAGATTTAATGTGATATAATCTATTAAAGTATTTGATACAATTTAACTATGAGAATT